GGTAAGGAAGCAACGGAGCGCCGTGCACACATACGCCTGATAATCATATCTTAAAGTTAATGATAATCAAGGTTATAGTGCATCAGGATTTGAGAGACACTTGATTATTGCACTTCGCTATGATTGGGCCAAATCTCAATTTGGGCTGCGTCAAGAAAAATTCATCTGCAATGCTTAACAAAAATAACAACCACACCTATACCAAAAATACATTCTTAACATTACAACCAAAGCCAGTGGTTCATGATTTCAGGACCCATCATTGTAAATTGCAATTAAATACATATCTGGGTAAAAGTGGGGTTATAATTTCCGAAACAACTTTAAATCACGCGGCTCGCGGCCTTGTCTCTTCAACTAATTTCACGCAGCAGAATTTGTTTTGATTATAATGGAGGGGGGAGAAAACAACAACAACAACAACATCGCACTGGATTTCAAATGTACCGAGTCATCGGCAAGGTGGAGCCTATTGCACGAATGCCACAGAGATGATGCTACACTATCGCAATCGTGCAATATGATAACGACGTATTCTTAGGTTTTTTTCGGTAAAGTCAAATTAATAAAAGTAAAATAAAAATAAAAGAAAAATCACGACGTTTATTAATTTTAAATTTTTTACCTACGTGACTTTACCGAAAAAACCTAAGAATATGAATCCTTGCAGTCACGAAAGCTTCAAATCTACAATAAATGATAACGACGCTTGCCGCATCTACATTACGGAATTCTCTGGATTGCAAGACGCACTTCCTCTGTATTTCACAGTCAAATTTAGTGGGGGCGGACGGGTGCGTCTTACAATCCGGTAGCTGTGCGTGTGTGAGGCCAGATTTTCGTGTAACTTTGCTAACACCGGGCACGTGTTTGGGGTACGTCTTCTCACTCGCCGGAGCGACTTACGATCCGGAGAATACGGTGACTGATACGATTATTACTACTTCTTATTTTGCTGCGAGTGGAAGCGCAGACGAATTTTTTGTTTTGTGAAAAGTGGTCATTTATATATATTTAAAAAAACGTTTACACACACACGCGCATACACACAGAGACACACACAAAGACACACACGCGCGTCAGTAGCTGATTAAAAACACTAACTCCACCACCGTCCCCACCTTACATGACCAGCATGTAGGTGCAGGGACTTTATAATGAGCGGCCTATGAGTGATTAGAACAATTACTTTTTATATCTGCAGAGGTTTGTCAAAGGTGTAGAATCTACATCACGTGTATGTATGTGCGTGTAGCGTGTTTGCTAGATGTGGCTTTTAGCGCGATTTTAGCGAATATAGAATGCACGGAATGTGTGTTTTATCGTAATAAAGTAAAACAAAACTAAATACTGTCAGATTCTATATTTATATCCCCAAGTTGAATCGAGTGGAGCGGTGGTGCCGTGGTTAGCACACGACGCTACGGACCCCGTGATCTAAGTTCAATTCCCCCGCCTCCACGGCTAACATCAGTGGCGAGCGATTATCTGAAAGCAGTCCTACTCACCTAATCCCCCCCCCCCGAAAACCCACAGTGACCAGCGTGGTGAAGTATGGTCAAACAACCCCACCACGATCGACGCACAGTGAGAGTGGAGGCATTCATCCAAGCGACGACGGTTGACAAAATGATTTGCCGGTTATTGGAGATTGAATTTCGACCGCTTTGAAACTTTTAGACTGGCACGGTTATTAAACGTGGCGCTTTCGCGGCTAATATTAAGATAATTGGTTTTCTTGAGACGGGGGGGGGGGGAGGCGGGTGGGGGGTCAGATTTCGTGAATAAAATAAAATGTGTCGTAAACCAGCATCATCAGGTGGTTGATGTCCGCTGATGCTCGCTGTAACTGTCAACGTAAAGTGAGTGCAGGGATTCATCTTGTTGGTTCTTTCGGTAAAGTCACGTTGAAGGGAAATAATAAAATAATAAAAATAAAACATAGTAAAACATAATAATTTATCATGTTTTATTTTTATTATTTTATTATTTCGCTTCTACGTGACTTTACCGAAATAACCAAGAATATATAAACGTGTCGTTAAACCCGCCGCCGCCACCCGACACGGCCAATTAGTAAGTTCATCACACCGGCGTGTTGGAGAGTGAACCCACAACAACATTTACAATTCGGGTACCGTGACGATTCGCCGGTAATTACAACCAGCTTCATCAGGTGACAGCCAGAGTCGTGGACAAATCCTCCTGTTGGTGTCTCCGAAGCAGTACTAAATTGTCCACGTGCGCTCACGTGACAACTGAGTTAATTGGCTGCGTCGGGTGGAGGAGAGTTTACGACGCAACGTTTTACTCGCGCTGCGATCTAAACTAATACAACATCAGCTGTGAATTGCGTAGTTATACTGGACTCATTCACCGTGTGAAGCTTTGCAATTAGCCGTGTGTGTGTTATGCTGTGCGCCAGCCTTTAACTATAAAAAAATATATATTTTACCAGGTCAGGCCCGCTAAGCTATATAGCTATTATTCAGCAGCGACCTGGCCACGATTGATAGCTCAACAAAGTGGCTTATCATCGTGTGGATATGTACAGCAGCAGCCAACTACTCTGAACGCGTGATGCCGATTCTAAATGGGGAGGGAAAAAGCGGAGGACCCGGAGAAAAATCCACGCGACCACGGGGTGAGAGAGAGAGAGACACGCAAACTACAAATACAGCAGGCATCGTCAGGGTCGGGATCGAACCCAAGACCTCCTGCATACCAGGCGAGGTAGTTAACATCTCGCTAACGTGCTTGTATGATACGCGTGTTACTCCTGCAAGACCATGTAATTTTCACGTGGACATGTGCTTTGTAAACCGCCGGGTGTCAAAGTTTCTTTCCCGCTCGTGCTGTTTAGCAAAAGAGTCGTTTATGCACCAAGTCACCGCACACACTCTGCAGGCTGATGCACCAATTCTCTCTCTCTCACCACACAGTCTCTCTCTCTCTGTGTGTGATACGATCATAAACCCGCCGGACAGAGACGTTCGTCTGCATGTCCACACACGCGATTCCAGTTGCACCCTTATCACGGTCGCGACTACCACAACTGCCAGCTAAACTCTCACTTGGCAGGATCGCGAGGGATGGCGACGGCTATGGACAGACGTTCACCCAGCAGTGGATCGATCATGGCTGGCCACTGCTGCTGCTGATGATGATGATGATGATGAAACTTAAGTTGCGTACCAGACAGTGGTTGTTATTATTATTACACTGGTCAAAAAAAATAAAATTTCTGGCCTGGACTTTTGCAGCTGTTTTAGACTAATTTCAGGGTGCTGCTTCCAAATCTGATCTCAGATTTGCTCTATCACATCTAATTTTTATGCTATCGGCATACCCCATTTTCATTGATTTTACCCGAAATTATCTCTGTCACTTATGATTGCAAGTTGTTGCGAGTCAGTGACTGCTTGAGTGTTAAAATATGGTGCTGTATTTTTAGGATAGTGTGTGTATATCATTTTATGTAGATATCCACATTTATTTAATATTTTTCTTTTGCAGTTTTTATTAAAAATGCAATATTTGATATCTCAAAAACCTGATGTGATAGATAAAAACTGATGCCAGATTTGGAATCAGCACCCCAAAATTACATTAAAACCGTTGGAATACCTTATGCCAGAAAAAGTGTGTTGACCAGTGTCATTATATTGCCACGCAGCCTTGGGGAGGACTTTCATCCAGCAGTGGAGATGATAATGAATTAGTGGTGGTAGCGATTGGCAAACGTTGGATCAATGATCGTGGTGACTCTGATGATCGTAATGATTACAGCAGACGCTGATGGCTGAGCTGTACAGTCCCGATGAATCCCTAACGGGAGTGAAACGAGTTATATGTTTCAATATTATATGGCCGTCTTATTGTGCTACTGTTGCCTAGAATAATTTGGCCACAATGTTAGGTGGTGGTGCGTGCATCATAACACCTCCGATGAACACGCTTGGCTACGTACGGTGCTAGAAAAGGAAGTTCAACATTTCACGTAGACACGCAACTGCAATTCACACGCAGCACGATCCCATGCCGTGCTCACGAATTCATGAACGCGCCGAAAGTGTCACGAGCAGATCGGGCAGAGCTCAGCACTGCACAACGCTACTGTGCTTATTACTGCCGCGCTACGATAATCGTGGTATTAATTTAAAAAATATATATATTAATATGGCAAGAGACATGAAGAGAGGGTTGGGGGTTGGTTGAAGAATCGTATGTACACATTTGTTCTTTTGTTTATCCGTCAACAACTAATCTGGCAGTTTGGCAAACATTGCATTTCTTAAGCATTTACAACAATAAAATAAACACAAACGCACGTGACATGTTCGTAAAAAAGGTAAAAAAACAAACAAACAGCGATTGATAACACAATGATGCGCGCACGCGGCTCTGTTATGAATACAATGCCGGGCATCGGGGCTTAGGTGTAGCACGTGGGAGTAGTGGGCACGACAAACAGGCAGGCAGGCGGGCAGGTAGGGTGGTAGCTATGTGGACAGGCAGGTATGTGCATGAGTGAGCAGATTAGCAATTAGGTGGCGAGTTAGGTACGCCAGGCAGCTGGGTGGATGAGTGGGATGAGTGAGAAGGGATGGGGGGAGGTAAGTGGACGTGCAAAGAAGGTGAGCGTGCAGGAAGTCATAAAGCTCGGGAAGTATTTAGGTTGGCAGAAAGGTAGCCCACACAGCTGAAGAGGTAGCTAAGTCGAGAGATAGGCGAATACACCGGTGGCTATACAGGCGCGGATGTAAATCGGCAGGGTAGGTAGCCCAAGATATAAAAAACACAGGTAAGCAGGCAGACATGCGGATATAGAGATGAGCATGCAGGTAGGCAGTTAGTAGAACGAGGCAGGCAGGCAAGCAGGTAGTGGGGGGGGGGGTGCGGACAGGTGAAATAGCCACAGAGTGGCCACCCAGGAAGCATCGGGTGTGAAGTGAGAAACCAGGCAGGTGGGCAGGCAGTCACATCTTACCCTACCCTACCGGGGTGTGTGGGTGAGTCTCTCTCGTCCCCCTTTGTCTCTCCCTGTCTCTCTCTCTCTCTGTCTCTGTCTCTCACGAGTAGTATCCTGAAGGCGAGGGCGCTGGTGCAGCAGCAGCAGCGGAGGAGGAGGAAGCGTCGGAAGATTTCCCCGTCCTCTCGTCTCCTTGATACTGAGCAGCAGCGGCGGCGACGGCGGCCGGAGCTGCACCGGACGTAACCGCAGCTGACAAACGCTCGCATCTTGCCTTGTACGCGTCCCTCTCTCGAGCGAGACGAGCCAACTCCATCCGCAGCGCGTCCACCTGCCGTTGGAGGTCCGTCTTCTCGTTCTCCAGCAGGTGGCGCTGCTGCACGCGCTTGTGCCGGCACGACTGCGCGTAGCCACGGTTCTTGAGGGTCCGACGCTTCTGCTTGAGCCGCAGGACCTCCTCCTTGCTGAAGCCCCTGAGTTGACGGTTCAACTCGCGCACGGACATGGAGACCAGCTGGTCGTCCGAGAAACGGTCGTCGACACGAAGGTTGTGATGGTGGTGGTGGTGGTGGTGGTTGCTGCTGCTACTGCTGCTGCTGTGGTGGTGGTGGTTGCTGTGATGGTGGTGGTGGGCGGTTAGAGGAAGCGCACCTTGCAAGTGCTGCTGCTGTTGTTGCGGCTGCGGCTGCTGTTGCTGCTGCTGATGGTGGTGGTGATGCTGTTGCTGCTGGTGGTGATGTCCTTCAGCCAGCTCGGGGCCGTGGAGATAGGGGGCCTGCTGATGGTCGCTGTGATGTTGCTGCTGCTGCTGATGTTGCTGCTGCTGCTGATGGTTCGGAGGCAGACCCCTGTAATCGAATCCATGTAGAGGTGTTCCGTGGTGGCCACTGTTGATGAGCGCCTCGACGGCATCCTCCGGCGTGAGACTCAGAGGGTCCGCGTTGAGATGCTGATGCTGCTGCTGCGGTGGCTGCTGCTGCTGATGTTGTTGATGCTGCTGCTGCTGCTGCTGCCCATAACCAGGTCCCATCCAATAGAGCTCTTCCAACTGATGCGATCTGAGGTCTGTCGACGGGCTGAGACTTGGTGACGAGGGCACGGAGCTGCAAGGCGTCGAGGAGATGGAGCCGAGACGAATGCAGCCACTTCCACCACCACCGCCAGCACCACCACCAGCACCACCACCAGCACCACCACCGCCGCCACCACCGCAGCCTACTCCGTTCCGGGGCGGGGAGTCTGGTCCTGAAAGATCGGCGACGTTCGCCATTGGCTCCTTCTTGACTTCGAATTTCAGGAGGTCAAAGTCGTTCACGTACTGCATGGCGAGAGGGCCGCTGGGAGAACTTGAGCAACTCAGTGTCATCTCCACGGCCATCGCTCCCAGGTGCGCTCAGCCCTCCATCGTGGCCGGGTCAAGGTTGGGTCAGTGACCGGTCCCGGGTGATGATGCCAACACGCGGGTCTCTGTGGCCGAGGACCAACGCTTGTTCGATGACCTGGCCAAGGTGAAAGAGAAATTTTAAAAAAATGGCTTTCCTTTTGTTGTTAAATGTACAAATCCTGAGATGTCTCAGTGAAAGGAAATAGGGTAATCGAAGTTTAGTTAGGGGTTCTAAGTGTATTGTATTGAGTCCTCCTGCTGCTGATGTAATTGTATGACTCTGCCAGGAATGTCCTTTTAAGATTGTTTAAAACTTTTTTTGTAAAGGAGTCTCAGCAATACGAACGGGTTTATCTAAATTAACACTCTTACAAACTGTACATTCCACGTTTCATTTAAAATTGCGCCCATCATTAGCAGTATTACAACCACCGTTACCAACGTTGACATATAAAATAGTGTGAGAAAAAGCATACGTACTTTTTTACATGCTTCCGCAAATGTCCCTCCTTTAAATGTGACTCGAAAAAAAAGTAAAAAATAAAATTAGTTTCAAATAAAAACAAACCCTACATTTACTTTCAGAGACTTGCACCAACTTTCCTCGCACACTTTTTCGCCGCTAATGCGAAGCTCCCAAGCCAGTGCTTGATTAAAAAAAAACACGAAAGCATCTATTGTTATTATTATGTTGTTGTTGCTGCTGCTGCTGCGGTGATGTGCCTTGTTGGACACACACACAGAGAGAGGGAGAGAGAGAGGGAGATAGTGAAGGGCAGCCAACAACAAGAGAGTTGCCTTGCAAGTGAAGCAGTGGGGAGAGGCTCTCCCCTGCAAAGCCCTTTTATATCCGTGCTGACGTCACGTCGAGAGGGTGGCTGTGAATCGCCGTCTTTCTCACTCTCTACCCTCTCTCGTCAAACGCCTGGGCCAGCCAGCCGGCTAACAACCGGGCTAACACCGCAAGCCACACGGTCAGTCGGTTTCCAGCCGGCGATCTTAGTCGGCAGTCATCCGTGCCCGAGTTTCGCGCAACTCAACTTCAGTGCTGGGCTCTTCGTCAGTTTCGGCGGGTTGGCTTCGTCCGTTCGGAGGCTGAAGGCAAGAGGCAGAGCGATGCGGCCAACCCGAGATAGCCGGGCGGCTGGAGAGAGAATCGTTTATACCTTTGGCTCGTCGGTCAATCGCGAGCGTCAATCGGCCAGTCGACGAGTCGAACAAACGGCGGTGCAGTCGGTGAGTGGTTTGGACGTTCGGCGAATCAGTCGGACGGAAGGTTGGTCGGTCAGCCAGCCACGGCTCTTACACGCTGCGTTCAAGGAATGCAATGCAATGGGCCGTGATTCGTATTGTATATATGCATTTGTGATATGCAAATGGATGTGTATTGTTACGTGGCTGTTTATTTATTTTTAATGAATTCATACCAATGTAAACATCATCGCCGGCCGGTAAGAATGTCTATTAAATGTTCAAGAAATGTACATATATAGATAAAAAAAATGTTTTAAAATGTACTTGGATATGTATATATATCGTATTAAATGAGTGTGTTTCCAAGTGTGTGCATTTTGGTGGTGGTTCATGCTTCAGTGTTTCGCATGTCAGGGCTGCTTGTTGTACGCGCGTGACTTAGTACAGGAATTAACTTGCGGTCTTAATGCTCGTGCATCATGAGGACACGGGGATTTGAAACATCACACGCGCACGTCTTGTGTACGCGCGTGTGTGTGTGTACGCGTGTGTGTGTGTAGTGGGGAGCGGTGGTGTAGCGGTTAGCGCTACGCTGCGCTATGAACCCGGCGACCCGAGTTCGATTCCCGCTCACGGCCAACACCGGTGACGATTATCTGAACCGGTCCTGGGTATCCCCTAGGTCGACTCAGCCTCAAATTAGTACTGAGTGCGATGTGTGAACATTGCTACTGGGGAGACAAAGACGGTCGGGCGTGGTTGCTGGCCACCCACCCCCCTCGTGTGCCGTGCCGGCCTTCATAGGTGCTCGCTAACAGCACTTGTCCCTACAGTCTGTTAAGGCTATACGGGGGATCTTTGTCTTTGTGTGTGTGTATGCTGCACGCTCTTGTTGGTTTCGTCTGGGGAGTGGTGGTGTAGCATCGGTGACGCGTATCTGGGCCTCCAGATATCGATCGACTGAGCCTTGAGTTAGTACTCGGCGTGGTAGATAACGTACCGAGCACTGGGGAGACAAAGGCGACGGGGTGTAGTTAAGGCTGTCTCTCTCCTAGATCGACTCGGACGAAAGCGACAAAGGCGATCGAGGAATGCGCGGTCACTTGGCATAACCCCCCCACCCCCCACCCCGTGACTCGTAATAGGCGCTTTCTAACTTTCGCGTGTCCCTAACATGCAAGCGACAGTGGGCTCATTCACTAACGTGTATCTACAACAGCATTGTTTGACACGTGTGTACGTACACACGTGTCAAGGAAGCTGCACGTAGTTTTACGTGCATCGTGTGGACACGATGGTAATGTCGTACACTCAGGCAGCATGGCTCGTACTTTTGCAAAAGGGTGTCGAGGTTTAAAGAGCCTTCGCTTGTTTTGCGGAGGTTAACGGCTCGAGACAAGCGGCCGCCCTGATTAATGCTGCGGCGTCATGTTAGCCGTAAGACAGCGACACAAACGCGGCGTACGTTTCACGGTGGACGTTAAAGATCTCGTGGCGGCGTTCGTTTGCTTTGTCGCTGCGTGGCGGCGTTGTGGTCTGAATTTGATTTAAAAAGTATATAAATAAATTTGTTGCCGGCAAATGAATCCATTTGGAGTTGAGTTAAGCATCAGCCCCAACCACCCAAAGCTGTGAACACTTGGCAGGACCCTCTTGAAAAGAGTCACGAGACTCAGTGTGGCTTTCCTGGGCAAACAAGCCGAATAATGTGAGATAAAGACGAGATTAAAAGACCCCGAGCCCGATCTTTGTTCAGAGCGACGTGGAATGGCTTTAGGTTAGGTTCTACTGCCCTCTGCCGAGCAAGACAATATAGCATCTCCCTTCGCCAACCAGCGCCTAATCTCCCATGGAATATTGAGACGGATTATGATGATGCACGCTGAGTATGATGATGATGAACAGATACGATATAAACGTATTGACCATGACGATGATGCTGATGATGCATCATGATGATCGACGATTGTGATGTTCTCATATAGAGGCTGCTGCTGCTGCTGCTGATGATGATGCTACTGCTGGGAAATCCAGACACTTTGCTGACAAGTAAATTCCCCTTGTGGGAGTGCTGTGCGCGGTACGGAACGCGGTTTAATAATTACACAGTCGGCCACGGCAAATCCACTGCTGGGACGAAGGCGAACCGGCCCCTCGCATACGCTCCGACTACCTTGGGCTGCCGTTCCATCACTGTCCTCGACCACCCTGCCACGGTTAGAGACCCCTTCGAGCCGCGCCGTGCATCCTGCCAAATTTGCCCCCACGGATCGCTCTCGTGACGACTGCTGCGCACTTATTAAAACCTGCGGACTAAAGTTCTCTAATCATCCACGTGTTCTTCTTTCTCGAGTTCAGTGTCATTGTGGACGGCACCGTTGGTTCCCTTCTGCTGTGTGTTGATGGCCGTGCTGTGCGAACCACGTGTTGGGAGCGGTTGCAATGAGCGTGTCTACCACGATTTGTGTGGATGGCACGATTGTGGTATAGATGTAACGTAGGAAGCGTAATGTGCAGAGCGTTTTCTTGGTTCTTTCGGTAAAGTCACGTAGAATGGAAATAATAAAATAATAAAAATAAAACATAATAAAATTATTCTCACGACGTTTCGGCCACAACGAAAGTAGCCGTCCTCAGGTGGAGAGACGCTGTCTCCTCGACAGACCTGCTCTCCACCTGAGGACGGCTGCTTCCGTTGTGGCCGAAACGTCGTGAGAAATATTTTATTATGTTTTATTTTTTTTATTTTATTATTTCCCTTCTACGTGACTTTACCGAAAGAACCAAGAAGATGAATCCCTGCAGTCACGAAAGCATTAAATCGAAATTTAGTGCAGAGCGTTGTTAATCCACTGCTGGATGACGAACCTCCCCAATGCTGTGGCGGTCGTAAGGGGGGGTTGGTAGGGTGGGGGGGGGGGTTTGACCATACTTCACCTCGTTTGTCAGTGCGGGTTGATGGACATGGCGGCGGGGGGAGGGGGGGGTGCTGGAGGACTGATTCAAAATCGGAATCCGAATCTTTATTTATACCGGAGGGGGAATCCGATGAGCTATGAAGTTATTTTATGTTTTACAGATGTCCAGTAGGGGCGGTTCAGAACCTTGCAACAACAACAAACAATACGAACCTTGCAACAACAACAACAACAAACAACAACAACAAACAATACGAAAACACGATAGGAGCGCAACGTATGGCAAAGGTAAACAAATCACTCACAGAAATGAAACTAAACTCGTTTATTTTAAAGCTTTCGTGACTGCAAGGATTCATCTTCTTGGTTCTTTCGGTAAAGTCACGCAGAAGGGAAATAATACGAAAAAAAGTTATTTGTTTTATTATAATTTCATTATTTACCTTCTACGTGACTTTGCCGAAAGAACCAAGGATATGAAACTAAACTATTTTATTTTAGCAGATAAAGCCCACTGAGTTTGGTTCAAGATGTAGTCGGCTTTCGCGACCAATAGCATCCATAATAGAGGTTTTTTCTGGGTTAGATAGCGTAAATCTATAAATGTGTCGTTAAACCCGCCACCACCCGACACAGCCAACTAGTGAGGGTTGTCACGTAAACAGAACGTGGCCAATTCGTCACTAGTACAGCACTAGTGTGTAGTGTATAGTGTAGTGTATAGTGTAGTGTATAGTGTAGTATATAGTGTAGTATACTAGTACAGCACTAGTGTGTAGTGTATAGTGTAGTGTATAGTGTAGTATACTAGTACAGCACTAGTGTATAGTGTAGTGTATAGTGTATAGTAGTGTAGTGTATAGTGTAGTGTATAGTGTAGTGTATAGTGTAGTGTATAGTGGTGTAGTGTATAGTGCAGTATGCTAGTACAGCACTAGTGTGTAGTGTATAGTAGTGTATAGTGTAGTATACTAGTACAGAACTAGTGTGTAGTGTATAGTGTAGTGTACTAGTACAGCACTAGTGTGTAGTGTATAGTGTAGTGTATAGTAGTGTATAGTGTAGTATACTAGTACAGCACTAGTGTGTAGTGTATAGTGTAGTGTATAGTAGTGTATAGTGTAGTGTACTAGTACAGCACTAGTGTGTAGTGTAGTGTATAGTGTAGTGTATAGTGTAGTATACTAGTACAGCACTAGTGTGTAGTGTATAGTGTAGTGTATAGTGTAGTATACTAGTACAGCACTAGTGTGTAGTGTATAATGTAGTGTATAGTGTAGTATACTAGTACAGCACTAGTGTGTAGTGTATAATGTAGTGTATAGTGTCATATACTAGTACAGCACTAGTGTGTATTGTATAGTGTAGTGTATAGTGTAGTATACTAGTACAGCACTAGTGTATAGTGTAGTGTATAGTAGTGTAGTGTATAGTGTAGTGTATAGTGTAGCGTATAGTGGTGTAGTGTATAGTGCAGTATACTAGTACAGCACTAGTGTGTAGTGTATAGTGGTGTAGTGTATAGTGCAGTATACTAGTACAGCACTAGTGTGTAGTGTATAGTGTAGTGTATAGTAGTGTAGTGTATAGTGTAGTATACTAGTACAGCACTAGTGTGTATTGTATAGTGTAGTGTATAGTAGTGTAGTGTATAGTGTAGTATACTAGTGTAGTGTATAGTAGTGTAAAGTGTAGTGTATAGTAGTGTTGTGTATAGTGTAGTATA